GCGAGAGGAGAGAAGTTGAGGTGAGGTGAGGTGATAGGAGAGGAGGTGAGGTGAAGAGAGGTGAGAGGAGGTGAGGTGGGGTGAGATGAGAGAAGAGGGGAGATGAGGCGAGACGAGATGAGACAAGACAAGATGAGATAACATAAAATAAGACAAGATAAGATAGGATAAGACAAGCTAAGATGATGTGAAGTAAGGTGAGGTAAGGTGAGATGATAGATAAGATGAGACGTGATGTGGTGCGATGCAATGAGATGAGATAAGATAACATTTTACAGATCTCCACAAAGACAATTTTACATTGACATGGCAAATACATACACGCACTCACTCGTCAACACATTAACCCCTTGACTGCACTTTAAACATATCTCATACGCCTAAATAATCTCACACCATAGTGTTCTATAAATACATCTCGTACAGAAGCTAAAAACCCATGTTATATGGCTAGTTCTGCTCAGGCCTTGTCAACGGATGTATTTATCTCTTTATTTCTCTTTCTACTGATATTGTTTTACTGATCTGTTTCTTATAAACATACATCACATCCAACACCAAAGAATCAAATGGTTTGGACATCTCATGTGATTACCAACACACCATCCAGCACAACGTGCCTACATTAAAAAATTTGATGGCAACAAGGCTAGAGGGCGACGGAGAAAGACCTGGATAGATGGAGTCAGGGAAACATTAACCACTCTCGGCATCCCCCTGACCCAAGCTCTCCGGCTGGCGACAGAGAGACGTCTCTTTCTTCCCGCGACACCACATTCGTAAATGCATAAGGTCATATGAGCATGAAGGGGTGGATGAAAACAGAGAAGTCCAAACGGGGAATCAAGCTTGCTCTGTTCACCTCTCTAGCCCCAACAGCACAAAGTCTGCTTTGACTATCAAGCCACCCCGGAAAAAAGGTTCACAAGAGCTTGATTAAAGTAAGTAAAGAAAAGTTTCTTGTAATAAGTGGACATAAGTTGATTAAAGATTCGTTAGCAGTTAAGGAGTTAAATCAGAAGAGAAACCTACCATTAGATATCTGCCTCTTCTTCCTGCTAGTGGCCTGGCTAGCCTGGATGGTGATGTTGTAGGTTCCTCGCAGCTCTCTGTCCAGTGTGGCCGTCAGGTACAGCTCACAGTGTCTCTTGTCAACGGTACTTCGCACCGCAAACGGAGCTGTACGGAGAGAATGAAATATTGATGGAGTTGAGTGAGTGTGAGAGTGTGTGGGAATGTGTGTGTTTTTGTGGGTGGGTGTGTGTGTGTGTGCGTGTGTGTGTGTGTGAGTGTGTGTGTGTTAGAGAGAGAGAGAGAGAGAGAGAGAGAAGAGACAAAGTGAGACAGAGACACAGAGAGAGACAGAGACACACACATACACAGAGAAAGAGAGAGAGAGAAAGAGGGAGAGAGACAGAGAGAGAGACACAGAGAAAGAGAGAGAGAGAGAGAGAGAGAGAGAGAGAGAGAGAGAGAGAGAGAGAGAAAGAGAAACAGAGAGAGAGGAAGAGAGGGAGGGGGGTAGAGAAAACTCATGCTCACAGACACTATTTGAGTACACGTGTATGATTGAGTTTCTTGTGTGTCGTTGAACATGAATGTACGGTGTGCATTTCTGTGTTGATGCTGAATCTTTGTATGTTCTGGGACATCCATCCAAAATGTCTCTCATGAACCATTAAAAATCTATTTTACCTTGTCTTATCTAGTCTCTTCTTGTCTCATTTTATCTATATTATCTATCCTTATCTTATCTTATTTGGCATGGTAAGGTTATCTAAGAGCTGAAACATCCATTTCCAAGAGGATGAACAGCGCCACAAAAGTTATCCATGCCACCTAAATCCAAGAATTCCAAGTTTGAGAATTGATCCAGAGTTCTCTTCATGATACTGCCAGCTCAGTTAAAGTTACAACAGTTTAATTAAATATTGTATAATTGACTTCATTTTTTTTTAACTTGTAGAGAAGAGGTGATAGTTTTTGACAATAACATTAACTCAGTCTGTGAAATTTCACACTTATTTCCGAGTGTTATTTGCAATTTTGACAATGATATTAACAAAGTTTGTGAAATTTCTGACTTATTTCTGAGTTTAGTTGGCAAGGACACAAATCGTAATTGAACCAAACGTACTTGGATCAGTGACCAGTATATCGTTTATGGCAATGATGCGACACTGCACGTCGCTGTCAGCGTTGGCAATTTCCAGTAGCAGAGGTTGCGTGTTGGCTACAACGGAATTTTCAGGCAGGCTCCATCTGAGGAGAAAAATCACAAACGTTTACGATATTTTTACGTACAGATGTGGTGTCAAAGAAAAAATGTATGTCTGTTTGGTGAAATCAGATTCTTGGTAAACTGAAATTGATCATGCCTGTTGTGAAATATTTTTCGAGTTTGTTTGGGGTTGTTTTGTTTTGTTTTGTTTGTTTTTTGGGGGGGAGGAGGGGGGGTGGGGGCTCAACAAAAAAGTTACCGTTTAAGACAGTGCAGTTGACATTGTCCAAGAAGACCACCCATTGTTGAGGAGAAAAATGATTGTCTTTGACAGTGTCCTTATAATATAGCAAAAAAACACCATAGGGAAGTGGGAATTGGTCGTTTGTATAGGATTCTCTTGGACATGTGGCTAGTAAAGCAGGTTCGACTGTGTTTTTATCACAAGATTCTTTTTAAAATGTTCTTTACGACTTCATATCCGCAAAAATCATTAAAAAATAGTTCTCCAGAAACACCTTTTTAGCATTTTTCTAAAAACTCTTTATCACAAAAAGTCAATAAGTACTGTTAAATAATACTTTGAGCTGTATTTTCTGTGACCTGAAAAGAAGCTGTAGGGTATATGTGAGTCACGACGTGGTGGAATCAGGCGCTCATCAATTTTTGAGCATACGGGTTATTGGTATTATATTTAAGCCTGTTCATTTGCCTTCCTTTTGGTGGAAAACAATATCCATCTATGTTGAACAGAAGTTGAAATATTTGCCATTGAAGGGGGCAAGAGTCGCCTGGTTTTAGAGTTAAAAATAGGGAGAAAATGGTCGTCAAAGTTTTGTTGGAAATTCAAAATTTGCATATTTTGTGCCCTTAATCAATGTTTTTCTGTAAAATCCACACACCAGGACATGAAAGGCGTTGAGCCAAAAAGACAAACTAGGAAAAAATTTGACTCACTGCCCTAAAAAACGCTGATTTCTTTGATTTCAATATTTTGACATGCGCCTGATTTCAACACGATGTCTCACACATGTATATATTATATATATATATATACATACGTGATGACTCTTTCGATGAAGCCAACATCTCGCCGGTCCACGTCCAGTTGAGTCACGTTGATGGTCACTGGGGCTCGACTGCTCAGCGGACTCCAGCTCTCGTCAATGGCAATGATGTAGAACTAGAAGAAAAATGTTTGGTTTTTTTAGTTTAGTTTTAGTCTTTGTAAGAGTTTTAATTTTTTTTATTTTAAGGCACTTGCAACGCAAAAAGGTCTTATGAGTTCTGAAGAACAGAACTGTTACTATTGGAGAGTATTATAGCCTCGTTCAAAGAAGTGGAAGAGAGATGAGGAGCATAGATGTTGTATAGGAAAAAAGGCGCAAACCCTACTACCGCACCCGCCAACCACCCACTTAAAAGAAAGTTGGGAGGCGGTGTTTACATAAAGTATTAAGACAATGGAAGAGTGGAAGGAAGCACAAGGAACAGACCACACCAGAGAGCCGACCAAACATGCTCAGAATAAAAGAAAAGAAAAGCAAGTTAGAAAATTTCAAGTCTACAGATTAGGGAAAACTTTAGACTTGTGTATATTAGTGTTGTGTTTGCGTGTATGTGAGTGAGTGAGAGAGAGAGAGAGAGAGAGAGAGAGAGAGACAGACAGAGAGAGAGACAGAGAGAGAGAGAAAGAGTAAATTGTCATCATAACTTATCTTTCAATGATACCTGCCTTAACTATAAGTGCATGAAATCTTCAAGACTTACGAAGTACTGCAGACGAGGCGCGTTCAGAAGGGAGCTCTTCACAAACAGGACACCGTTTTGAGTGACACCAAAGTACTTCTCAGCTTGCTCGAAATCAGGATCAACCACATACTCAAATTCAGCATTAGGAGTCTGCACACAAAAAAATATGTACACATAAAAAATTCTCTCTATTTTCGAAAAAGAACCTGAGGTAAGGAGAAAAAAATCCAAAACAAGCGTAACTTTATGAATAGCTTAAAAATCTGACAGAAAAAAAAAACATACAAGAGATTAACTTTTGGGAGTGAAAATTTAGTCTTTACACTTGATTTGGAGTCTACATAATTTGATAAGTAGGCACCACGTCAGAGTAGTCCTACAATGGATTCCTGCCCACACTGGGATACCGGGAAATGAAAGAGCTGATGCTCTGGCAAAGAAAGGAGCTAGTCTCCCTCAGCCTGAAATTCCTACGAATTACACCACCTGCTGCCAAATGATCAAGCAGAACCTCAAGGAAGACTGGATGAATGATTGGGCCACAGGTACGACAGGAAGGAGGATGTATGGCCACATGAATAAACCACTGGTCAAAGATCCAATCAATGAGTTGAGGAGGGGAGATCAATCCATAATCTTCCAACTTAGAACACAACATGTACCCCTCAACCAACATCTCAACCGAATTGAAGTAAAGCAGTCTGTTGCCTGCCCACTATGTGACTACCCCTCAGAGACAGAGGAACATCATCTGTTCTTCTGTAGAAAACTAACTGATTTAAGGGGATGTTTTCTTCCCAAGCTACCCCACACATCTAACTGCCTCTACTCCTCAAGACAACAATTAGAACAAACATGCAACTATTACCGAATGCCATCATGCAGAAGAGTTAACGCTCAGATGTTACTGGATCGCTAACAACAACAACAACAACAACAACAACAACAACAACACTTTAGATAGAGGCAATATTTTTGTGCCTTTCCATGATTTAAAAACTTTCAATAACTATAACGGGAGACCATCACACATCATAAAAAGAGGTGATTTAAAAAAAAATTGTTTCACTATGAATTATCAAAAGCTGTTCGCTGGTTCACGGCCAAGTGACTGGTAAAACGTTGTAGGATTTGAAACTGATGAGAACTGAGGTGGACTAAAGCTGAGACAGAAGAAACTTGAAGTTGGTGAGCAGAACCAGAAAACACAGGCACATTTTCTTCACAACAAATACGAATATAATTGTACAATTTTTCATTTAAAGGGACATAGAAAAAGTAGACTTTTTTCATGTTTATCAAGCTTTTTATCATTTCTTACCAATAAATTGTACAAACTCAACCTATACATTTGATGTATCCATTTTCCTTAGGGTCAATGTCAGAGAAGTAACATATTTAGTCAGCACTCATCACGACCTACTTCCCTTCCTTCAGATCTCGACTTCCTTAACATGCTCCAAAGGAGAGGCATCATTAATACGGTAGGAATCAAGGAAGGTGGAAGGGTGTGTCTTGCTATTTCACGAGTGTGATGGGGAGAATTTTTATTTTTAAGAAATTTTGAAATTTGAATTTTACGCTAGTGGTGGCCTAACGGATATTTCTACTACCATTTTGAACCCCCAAAGGATCTTATCAAAACTGGAAACAGCAGTGACATTGCTTCTGAGCCCTTTGGCTACGATTACAGTATGGTATCTGTAATATATCTGTGTTGTCTTAGTCAAGGGAAATAATAATTACTTTTTTCTACTTCTTTGGTCTTCAATATTAATGAGTGTTGTCCCTTGTCCTATGTGGGATTCTCCTACATTGGAGCAGCCTAAGGGGGGACTGTTTTGGTCCAACACAAAGGAAGTAATCACTACTCACATCAAGTACTGAATATACTTCACTTGTTTCCTGGCCACGGACAGGAATGGTTGCTCTGAGCTTCTCAGTTCTAATTCTAAAATTCAGTACTACTAACTACATTTAATACTACCAAGATATAACAGTATCTGTTCCCGATTTCTCTCAGCTTTGTCCCCACTCATATACGGCATGAATCTGAGGATGTCTAAACCCGCCTCCATATATCTAGTGGATTGTACCCGTCCTCTTAAAAAAAAAAGGAAACAGCATTAACTCTTCAAACCCTGAGTTTTTTCCACCATTTCCCAGAGTTTTTTCTACATTCACCTAAACCTAGTGCACCATGTCTCATTATAAATCCTAAAGCTTGCCTCCAACTTCTAAATAGCAAAAATAAAGGCTTAGTCATTACTAAAAAAACTTGGATCGAGAATAGTTCTGAAACACAAGAAGAAACTGGCACTAAATAAAATGAAACAGTTGTCACGATCATCGGATGCTCCCTGTCCAATGGGGAACAGGGTTATTACCGCCGGATGCTCCCACCGTCCAATGTGGTTTAAAGAGTTAATAAAGAAATGAGAAAAGTTCCGACATCTTACCTCTCTATTGAGAGGCACATCTATATCATCGTCTCTGGCAGTGAGTGTGAGAAGGACTCTCCCCACCGCCCACGTGTTCTCCACGGCCGCTCCGTACGTAAACTCCGTGAACTCTGGCCGGTGGATGTTGCGCACGATGTCAATCGTCATGGTGGCGAGGGCAACTTTGGGAGGACGGGCGTTGTCGGCCGCTTGAATAGTCAGCTGAAAAGTAGATGCAATAGACGTTATGGCAATAATAATATTGGGTAATAATTTGAACAAGAACAAGAAAAATAATAACAATAATAATAACAATAATTATAATAATAGTAATATTTCATTGTTATTATTATTATTATAACTTATGACAAAGCCGTTGAGAACTTGTCAACAGTTCTATGACAAATTTAAGGCTGCTTGATTAACAACAACAACAAAAACAGCAACAACAGCAACAACAACAGCAACAACAACAGCAACAACAACAGCAACAACAACAACAACAAGCAACAAGCAACAATAACAACATCAACAACAACAACAACAACAACAAGCAACAAGCAACAACAACAACAAACAACAACAACAACAAGCAACAAGCAACAACAACAACAACTACAAACAACAACAAGACAACTTACGACAAAGCGGCTAGGAACGCGGGCTTGAGCCAAGGTCTGAGCCACCAACACAATGCCAGCCGTGGGGCTGATGATGAAGAAATCATAGATGTTGGGCAGTTCCTCACCATTCAGCTCGCTCCTGTTGTACGTGGTGGCGATGATCGAGTACACGATGGTGCCGCTCGGGGTCTGAACACAGCCGGAGTTG